AGAAATAAAAGCAGAAGACAAAAATTCAAGGTCAACTTTAGTTTTTATTTCTCTAAGAATATAAGAAATATATAACCACAATTCCTATTTTTTATCTTTATTTCATTCCTATTTTATTGTAAAATCCTGACTTGCAAGGACTATTTTGTTCAATAATATGTAACATATAGTAGTAAAATGTGAGATAAAAAGTTGAGTCAAGAATTGGACAAAATTAAAAAAAATTTGTTCTTTCCTGTCATTTTTAAATAGTCATTATTAACAGTAATACCCTTAGTAGGATAGGGAATGGAGGTAGGCTATTGACTTTTAAAGAACATAAATCTAAGCTTGTTAGATGCGTGGATAGATGATAGGTAGGTAGATAGATAGAAAGATACATGGGTGTATAGAGTATTATGTGTATGTAAAGTGTTTTGTGTTCTAGGTCTCAGGTGTTCAAACTTGCAGGAACTTTGATAGATGTAATTCTTCATCTTGGGGAGGCTCTTCTTATAACTGATTGTGAGAAACTCTGTGTGTTCAAATTCATCACAGAAACCTATAAAGTGACTCCTGTCTGATGTGTGGGAGTCACTGTCCTGATTAGCACCGCTTTCCAGAGCAGTGCTCTCAGAGGGAGAGCCTCAAAGGTACAGCCAAAACTGGAATATCTGACACTAAAATCCCATTTAAGCAGGTAATTCTCAAATTATGGATGGCAGAAATCTGAGATTTCACTAAGGATTTATATTTTAGATGTGATGTGAAACTATGGTGAATAGTGAGTGACCTGTTGGGTAAATTCTTTTCTATTTTCCCTCTGACATAATCTATATGGAACTTTTGGTTGATGACACTCTGTAGACACCTGGAGTTAAGGTGCTGAACTGGTGGCCCTGTCCCTGTATGGTCATGGTTAATGGTAGCTGTGGCCCAAAGCAACTTCTTGACTAACAGGGACAATGACAGTTCTGGGAACCTAACCTGTTTAAGAGAGAGGATGTGATGCTGCGTTGATTCAGTGATCCTCTGCTGTGCCTCCTCTTCCTCTTTATTCTTTTCTTCCTTCTTTTTCAATGATGAAACCACCTTCTTGGAAAGCTTCTTTATTATTGACCAAGACTAGGAAGCTCTAGCAACATGCTTTAACATTGTAACACGCAACAGTCTTCACTATTGACTACAGGTAGATTTTAAAAAGATATGAAAGAACTAATCACAAAATGGACTGCCATCATGCACCAATTGGACAAATAAAAGGTATACATTTGGGAGTGAGAAGACAATATGGCAAGTTGAGGGGTCTGAAGGGCTTAAGGAAGACAGAGAATAAACAGAAAAAATATTTAAAAGATGGTTGTATTTAAAGAACTAAAGCCTGTTTGTAAAGAGACTGAGAGAAAGCAAATATATATGATCAGCTTAAGTTCATATTTTCACATAGATTTTATAGACTTTTAGTGTTATGGTCCTCACTCCCTTCCTCAAACATACTCTTAATTATTACATGTGATGGTGTGAGTGTTAAATAGTATTTTTATACTTGTTTCTTGTGATTTAAAAACTGATATTTATTTATGGAAAAAAAAGTCTTTATTTTCTGATAAAGAAAGTGCAAGAATTTCTTGCAATACCAGCAGGCTAGTGCGGTGCTGGGGTCAGTTGAGATGGGGAGATTCTGATCCCATTTACAAATGTGTCCCCACATTCCCCAGTAATATAAGACCAGTGCTGCAACTTTATTCCTCCCCCAGATGGGGCCTTTTCACCCGCCATGACTCAAAAATAAACGTTTTAGTACCTGATGGAACGGTCCAGAAAAGAGGATAGTTCAAGTCCCAGTCTGAATAGGGAAACTGTGGAAGAACTTCTGAGAGCTGTCTCTGAAAAGGCAGAAATCAAACCTGTATTCAGAATTGGAGAACATATTGGGACATTGTTTCCCAAACTCTAGTTAGTCCCAGAAGGGCCAGTATATTTGTAATAATTATGTATCACACGTATAATATGAAATTCTTAATATTTTTATATTTAAAATAACTTTGTAACTGGAAAAGACACCGGTGTTCAGGCTATCTGTCACTACCAAATCCAATAAGCAATGACAGTGATTGAATCTTTTATAGATGCTTTATTCAGATGGCCGGCAATCCGAGAAGATGGTGGGTTCATACCCTAACAAACCATCTTACTCTTTCTTTCCCAGCCAGATCTTTTATAAGGGGGTTGGGGGAGGGCAAACAAGGTGTCAGCGAAAGCCTTTGAAATTCAACAGTTGCCTCCAAGTGGGGGTGGGGGGGTGGGGGTGGGGTGCGGGTTAGTCACTTGCTTCTTCCTGGTACAGATGTCTCCAGGAGGTCATCTGCTTATTCTCAGGCACGAGGATAGGCCTTATCTGTAGTTACTGAAACAAAAACTTAACATACACATTACTTGCTAGATTTATGACTATTTACCTTAAGCTAAATTTTCCCAAGTCTTAAGCCCCTATCAACTTTATACCAACCTTTTGAGTTTCTGACTTAATTGACCATAGGAAATCATGTCCATGGAATGGCAGATAAAATATTCAAGTTATATATTTAATGCAGAATTAACATAAGCACACAGCCAGCATTGTGTTATTCCATGCCCCTGTGAGGCCACCTCCTGTAACACAAGAGGTGGTCCAGCTTTCAGAGCCACTGTTAGCAACTGGAACCTGAAAAATTGGCCTTGTAGGCACTCTAAACATTTTCAAAAGGCTTTTTGTAAATAAGCTTAATGCCTCTTTGAAAGGTCACCACTCATTTGTGGCACAGATGGCCTCAGGACAGGGAGTGTGTGACCCGGAAAAGACCTTAGTTAGTACCACATGAACTTCCTGATTGGGGGAGAAAATCTGAGGGCACATTTCTCAGGACATTCAACTGCCCCCTCTGGGTGAGCAGCAGAACAGAGCACCCTAACAGCTGGTGTGTCAGTCTGTGTTCCCCATTAACCTGTGACCAAGGCAGGAGCTCATCTTGTTCTCTATTGCAGGGAACATCAGAGGGAACCACATAGGTATGGTTCAGTAAATAGACTTTGAATGAATGCTTGTGATTTTTATTCTCTTCTCTGTATTTCATAAATGATGATTATGAGCTCCTTTTTTTTAAAAACAATATAAAGGCTCAAGCGAACACCTTTGAGGGCAGCAGGGAGGAACAGTGCTGAGGAGACTGATTTCCACTCTGAAATCTGTTGTGGGACAGAAGTACTTGCAGGAATGGGATGGAGGAGACAGGTTCAAAGAGGAAGGAAACAGAAGGCAAATCTCTGGTACTGTAGGGAAAAAGAAAGAGGAGGAGCGAATTTCAGGATGAACAGGATAAGTAGATGTTTCATACTGACAGCCCCAATTCAAAGAGACTGATATTTTCTTCCCTGTTTATAGAAAAAGAGGTGACCTGCCTGTGGTCACATGGCCTGTCAAAGATAGAACTTGCACTAGACCCTGGTGTGTTTTAGGTCTCCTGTTCAGAATTATACAGGGTTCTCTAGAGAAACAGACAAGTAAGAGACAGGGAGAAAGAGAGAAGAGGAGAGATTAATTTGTTGTAGCAGTTGGATGATGTGCATATTAAGGTGGCAAGTCCAACTCTTGCCAGTGTTTCAGTGTGAAGATCTTTAGGCACTGGAATTATCTCTCACTCAGGGGCATTCAGCCTTCTGTTTTAGTGAGGTCTTTAACTGACTGAGGCCAACCACATGCTAGAGGGCAATGTGCTTTCCTCAGCCTACTGATGTGAATATTAACCTCACCCCAAAATACCTTCACAGGAACACCCAGAACAATGCTTGACCAAATATCTGGACATCTCATAGTCAGTCAAGTAGGCACATAAATTAACTTTCACACTTTGTTTCTAGCATACTGAAAAATTGTATGAAGACAGCAGAAGTGATAATAGATATATTGGACATATACTTCACTTACATGAAAAGTACAAAAAATGAGCAAAACTTTAATGAAATTATTATTGATAAGAAGGTGTAAATAAATGTCAATTAATTACAATGACAAAAATTAATGACAAAGTGATTTAAACTTTGTCTTGAATTTTCCAAAAGGTTCTATGTCAAAGTGTCAGTTAGTAGATATTAAATAAATATAAAATCAGTTAATTGAATGACATTGTTTATTAGATGGGTTATTCCAGTGGTTTCAAAGGAAGACGATGTAAGGATATTTGAACAACTCTGTAAGTCCTCTTTAAAAGTTAAAGAAGTAGAATGAGGTTAGTTGGGAGACAGTACGTAAGAGCAGGTAGTGTGTCATGTTGGGGAGTTGTAAGCAAAAAGCTTGCTCTCTGATATAGGTCTAGGGACTGTGTGGGCTGCCAGAACATATGAATTACAGCAGCTAAAGTGTGGTTCTAGAAGATTCCATGTGGCCATGGTGGCATAGATTTATAAAGAATAGAGGAATCAGCTATATGTGCTCTATTTGCCTGACCAAAGCATTTAAAATAGAACTCTTGAGGTCACATTTACCGAATGTTCCTAGTATCATTATGGGGAGTCTACTGAGATGTCTGTAGCCTTACCTCAGTACACCTGAAAGGAAGAAAAGAGGACTTAGATCAGTAGTTAACCAGATTAAGGAGAAATACATTCAAGGAAATTTTGGGTAAAGAGGCAGATGTCATGATTAAGCTAAGCTCTTTTTAACCCAGCATGTATAACAAATGGCAATCAGCTGCAATGGAACAGGGCAGACAGTATTATGACCCAGGAAATATGAAAGGTGGGAAAGGGTCATCTCCCCCAATCAAGAAAGAGAGCCTTTGACCACTGGTTAGAAAATCCTCCAAGTTCTCCCACAACCCTAAGTCCATGACCCAGAGCTAAGGCAGGGCCTCTGTGAGTCATGAGCATGTAACCCAGTGAGGAGATCCTGGAGCAGGATACGTTCTGTTTTCAGAGTTCCTGTCAAGCCAGTTATGGATGGATTTGCATTTTGGATGGAAAATTATTGGACCAGGTCAGTTTCAGGCACGTCCACTTCCCCCTGGGTGGAGCAGCAGGCCCTATAAAGACCTTGTCAGCTGTACCACTCCAATCCTCCCAGCACTCGAGTTCTGATCTACTTCAGGGAACCTGGTGAGTCTGATTTCTTGAGTTCAACTGTTTTTCTGATACTCTCAACTGTTGAATTTACCTACAGACAGCAAGTCTTTCTGGGTCCTAAATCATGATCATTGGTGTGATGCTCCTTATTTGAGAAAACCTTAGAATTGAGGCACATGGATATACTGTTCTCACTTGCTTTTAGGTAGACAGTTTGATATCTGGTACAGAAAAGACAAGAATAGGAAAGATTTAATATGACAGAGAAAAAGGCAAAATTATTTTTTTGTTTTCTACATAATTTTGTGTCTCTTCCCTTCTGGTGTGAGTTAAAACACTCATTTCTTAGAAGGTGTGGGACCATTGCATCATTTTGGAAGGGCATTTTGCTCTGTACCAAAGTCAGCCTATTGGGACTTCACAGGAGACAATGATGATAGAAATTGCTTGTGTGATGGGTTGTACAGGATTTCAGAACTTGTGATGAACTTTCTGGAAGATGTTATCTTCATACAAAATATATGGCTTTGTTCTCTCAGCAATGTTTTCTTTGCACAAATAGTAAACAAAAAACCAGGTTTTTCTCAAGGCTGATGAATCAATCTTCTAGAGATGAAGGGAGAAGCCAGAGAGTCTTAAAACGAAGTTAAGAGATGAAAGTACATTCTTGGGGATTGGGGGATAAATCTCATGGATTATCTAAGTGTTGGGTTCTTGGTCTGTAGGAGTGCCTCCTTGTGACAACTGTCATATAATTTCTTTCAGATTCTAACGCTCCAGAAAGATGTCTTATCAACAGCAGCAGTGCAAGCAGCCCTGCCAGCCACCTCCCGTGTGCCCACCCAAGTGCCCAGAGCCTTGCCCACCCCCAAAGTGCCCAGAGCCATGTCCACCCCCAAAGTGTCCTGAGCCGTGCCCACCACCAAAGTGCCCTGAGCCATGCCCACCTCAGCTGTGCCAGCAGAAATGCCCTCCTGTGCAACCTGCTCCACCATGCCAGCAGAAGTGCCCACCCAAGAGCAAGTAACAGCTCCAGTGTTCATCAGGATCAGGAAAGGATAAGAACCACTGTCTCACCTGGTTCCCAAGCCCTTCTTCATCTTTCTCTCAAAGCCTGTTATGGATGCAGAAGAACCTTCTCCACCCTTCAGCCTGTAATAAGCCTGTGATGAATCCTGGCAGTGAATGATTTCCTTTCTGAGGTTGTCCTACCATTATCTCTAGGAGGAAGCTGAGAAAGACCTGTCCTTGGCTGTGCCAGCATCCCCCAGCTTCAGAAGGAAGACAGCTGCTCCCTTCCTGGGTGGCAGCAGAAGGCTCTGTCAATGGCTTGTGGGTCTGGTTGTCACCTGGATGAGATTTCTGCTACCTTGGCATCTGTTACTTTTATTTCATTTTCTGAATAAAGTACATATTTGCTTGTGATGGGATAAATACTTTATTTTCTTTAAAGCTGCCTATTAGCAATATCATCTCATCACTTCAGTTTATTATGTGTTCTTTGAGCCTAAGGCTCAGGATCTTACTACCAGTATTTTATATAAGTTGATGACATACCAAAAAGTGTTTCTATATCATTTCAAAGAGATCAAATTACAGAGCTCATAAGGACTTCAGTTTCTCTATTGCAAGTATGAACTTGTCTTAGGCATGAAATTGAATATGCATAACTTAGTTGGCACAGTGCCTGATCCTTATTTAGCGTTTGGTATGGTAGCAGATCATCACTGTCTCCATCATCATCATTTTCATCTTCACCAATGCCATGGATATCACTATTGCCATCCCCATCCTCATCACTGTTGTCATTAGGAACATGTTTGCTCCAGCAGGAAACTGGCTTAAACTTAACCATCATAGGAGTAAAAAGATTCCCAAAGTTTACTATCCTTTCATATTCTGTTGTTCTCTTTAGTTTTTGATTCACTTTATTTTTATATTATATTGCAGATAAAGAGCTTTTGGTTATTAGTGGGGTATTCTGTATAAAACTGTATTTGTTTTTAAAACATGAGACATAAGAAGAGTCCCTATGAGAAAAAGTGTTGCATCCTCTTCACGTAATCACCTTCTCTTCATACCTCAACAACCCACCAAAAATCAGTGTGCAATAATTTAGTTTACCTCTAAAATTACTTTTTTGAGTGTTCTGACCCCATATTTAAAAGTTATTGGGGTTTCCATGTTTATTTAGGTTTGCAAAGTTACTCTTGCCATGCACCTTGTTTTCTGAGTGCTCAGTCCCTTAGATAATTAAGCTGCAGAAAGAGGGATATGTGTCCTAGTATATTATGTCTTGTGGTCCTCAGTGTCTGCCATGGGATGCACACACACTCTGACCATTACATCTGTCTTTTAAAAACTAACAAATCCTTTGTATAAAATGATACTACACCTAAAAATATTTAAAATCAAGAAGACCTATTTATTTCATAAATGGTATTGGGAAAAGTGGACACTACATGCAAAACTGAAACTAGACCAAGTTCTTATACCACATACAAGAATAAACTCAAAATAAAGACATAAAAATTAGAATCAAAACCATAAAAATCCTAGAAGAAAAAAGGTAGTAGAATCTCTGACATTTCTCTTAGTGATGTTTTTGCTAATATATCTACTTGGCCAAAGAAAAAAAGTAAACAAATGGTATTACATGAAACTTAAAAACTAGTGCACAGAAAAAGAGACCATCAACAAAGTGAAAAGACAACCTGCTGACTGAAGAAGATATTCACTAATGATACATCTGATAAGTTATTAATATCCAAAAATTTATCAAAAACTTACATAATTCTATACCCCCCCAAAAAAAACCAATTTAAAAGAGGGCAGAGAATCTGCACTGACACTTCTTCAAAGAGGACTTACAGATGGCAAATAGACATAGGAAAGGATGCTCAACATCACTAATAATCAGAGAAATGGAAATTATAACCACAATGAGATATCACCTCACACCTTTCAGAATGGCTATCATCAACAAAATCCACATGTAATAAGTGTTGGTGAGGATATAGAAAAGGGAACCTTCCTGCGCTGTTGGTGAGAATACAGAATGGTTCAATTACTATGGAAAACAGGATGGAACTTCCTCAAAAAATGAAATGTGAAACTGCTGCGAGAACCAGAGATTCCATTTCTGGGTATAGACCCAAAACCCCCCAAAACACTAATTTAAAAAAGTACATGAACCCAACTTCTGGCCAAGATGGAGGCATGAGTAGATGCAGTGTGCCTCCTCGCACAACCTAAAGAAGGAGAACATCAAATTAAAAAAAAAACCCAGAACTGCCAGAAAATCAAACTGTATGGAATTCCAACAACCAAGGAGTAAAAGAAGAAATATTTATCCAGACCAGTAGGAAGAGTGGAGACAGGCAGCCAGACAGAGAACACTTGTGGCATGCCAGTGGCTGGAGGACTGGGGTGGGCAAGGTGGTGGCTGGAGGACCATGTGGTTCAACATTTTCATGCAGATAAACTGGGAGGAACAACTGGAGAGTGAGACAGATCCTGCACCCCAGGATTCCAGCACAAGAAAATAAGGCCTCAATAACTCTGACTGAGAAAACCTGTGGGGGTTGTGGCAGTGGGAGAAACTCCCACTGCCTCAGAGGAGAGTTTACTGGAGAGACCCACAGGGTTATAGAATATACACAAACCCACCCACCCAGGAATCAGCATCAGAAGGGCTCCATTTGCTTGTGGGCAGCAGAGGAAGTGACTGAAAGCCACCGACAACCCAGGGAGCTGCACTGTTCCCTTTTGGACCCTTCCCCCCTACATCCAGTGCCACAAAGCAGCAATATGGGTTGCCCCACCCTAAAGAATACATAAGGTTCCACCCCATACCAAATAACAGGTGCACTGAAACAAAAATATATAGCCCAAATGAAAGAACAGATGAAAGTTCCAAAAAAATGCAACTAAATGATGAAGAGATAGCCAACCTATCAGTGCAGAGTTCAAACACTGGTGATCAGGATGCTTGCTGAAATGGATGAGCATGCTCTCAAAATAGAGGAAAGAGTGAAGGCTATGAAAAATGAATTAAAGGAAAATGTACAGGGAACCAATAGTGACAGGAAGAAAACTAGGACTCAAATCAATGATTTAGACCAGAAGGAAGAAATAAACATTCAACCAGAACAAACTGAAGAAATAAGAACTCAAAAATATCAGGAGAGTCTTAGGATCTCTGGGACAATGTTAAATGTTCTAACATCCGATTCCTATGGGTGCCAGAAGGAGAGGAAGAAGGAATTGAAATAGAAATAAGCTTTCATGAAACTGAAATCTTATTTGAAAAAATAATAAAGGAGAACTTCCCTAACCTGCCAAAGGAAAAAGACTTCCGAGAATCCCAGGAAGCTTAGAGAGTCCCAAAGAAGTTGGACCCAAGGAAGCACACACCAAGGCACACCCTAATTACATTACCCAAGATGAAAGATAAGGAGAGGATCTTAAAAGCAGCAAGAGGAAAGGAGCCAGTTACCTACAAAGGAGTTCCCATGAGACTATCAGCTGATTTCTCAAGAAACTTTACAGGGAAGAAGGGGCTGGAAAGAAGAATGCCAAGTCATGAAAGGCAAGGGTCTATATGCAAGATCACTCTATGGAGCAAAGCTTTCATTTAGAATGGAAGGGCAGATAAAGTGCTTCCCAGATAAAGTCAAGTTAAAGGACTTCATCATCACCAAACCCTTATTATATGAAATGTTAAAGGGACTAATCTCAGGAAAAGAAGAAGATCGAAACCTATGAATAGTAAAATGATAACAAACTCACAACTATTAAGAACCAAACTAAAAAAAAACAACCAAAAAGAAACTAAGCAAACAAATAGAAGAGGAACAAAATCAGAGAAATGGACATCACATGGAGGGTTGTCAGTGGGGAGGGGGAGGAGGGAGAATGGGGGAAATGGTACAAGGAATAAGAAGCATAAATAGTAGGTACAAAATAGACAGGGGGCAGTTAAGAATAGTGTAAGAAATGTAGAAGCCAAAGAAGTTATATGTATGACCCATGGACATGAATTGCATGGTGGGGGGGGAGAATGAGGGTGAGGAGGGGGTGTGCAGGGTGGAAACAAATAAAAGGAAGGAAAATGGGACAAGTGTAATATCCTAGCTAATAAAATATATTAAAAAAGAAAAAAGACTCATGAAAACTCAAAAAAATGAATCCCTATGTTCATTGCAGTGTTACTTGCAATATCCAAGCTATGAAAGCCACTTAACGGTGCAGCCATGAGGGGGGCCCCAAACAGGGCTTCGTAATGGGGTCAAGAAGAGCTTGGAGATGATTGGTTGCACAGCTCAGGGCCACACCTTCCCAGAATGCTGGCAGCTGTGGCCAATTGTGGGAGGAGCTGAAAATGAGGCTGCAGCAGAAGAGTGGTGCTGGGATTTAAATCCAGGCATGGCAACCATTAGGGGTCTTTCTGGGGATCATGCGGCTTTGGTGGAGAGTTGGTAGCATGCGTCTTGGGCATCTTGTTGGGACCTCATGGCTTCGGTGAGATTCAGGGCCATGCATCATTGCCAGTGCTCCCTTTTGCTGTGTGGGTGGTGCTGGGAGCCTGAATCACAGACTTCTACTTCTTTCCTGAGATATGGTACCCCAGACTGAGCAGAGGGAGAAGGAGGGACTGTGTGTGTTTGTGGGTGTTTTAAAGAACTTTAGTCTGTATAACTTTTAAATAAACAATAATTCCTTTCCTTTTCAGTAATCTTTGGCATGGAGATTTGTTATTCCTGTGGTGGCCGGCAAGGTGAACCTAGTAAGATGGAGGAGGAACTCCCAGAGAAAAAGGGGGGGGATCTTTTATATCATTCAGCTCCCCCCAGTCTGTTCTGTAACAGCCACCCAAGTGTCCATAAAAAGATGAATGGAAAAACGTCATGGTACATATATACAATGGAATATTGCTCATCCATAAAAAATGATATCTTATCAGAATGATATCATTTTTTAATATCATTCAAAATGATTTTTGATATCATTTTGTGACAGAATGGGTGGGCCATATGATTTCACTTATTTGTGAAATCTAAAGAGCAAAATGAACAAACAAAATAGAAAACAGACTCAATAATATAGAGATCAGGCTAAAGGTTGCCAAAGGGCAGGGGAGTTGAGGGCTGAGTGAAAAAAGAAAACGTATTAAGAAGGACAAATTGGTAGTTACAAAATAGTCAAGGGGATGTAAACCACAGCACAGGGGATATAATCGATAATATTGTAATAACTATAAATGATAACAGGTGGGTACTTGAAATATTGGGGGATCACTTTGTTAAGTATATGAATGTCTATCCATTATGCTGGGTATCTGAAACTAATGCAAAATAATATTGAATGTAATTGAAAAAAAGATTAAGAAAATTTTCCTTTTCCTACATCTTCCACTCAGAAAG